ATAGACTGCTTATCATCTTGATTATTGAAAATTTTACTCAACTTTCCACTTTTTTCTTCTAGTTTCTGCATTTATTATTTTCCAAAGGTATACTCTTCCTTTCCAGGGTAATTTTTTTTTTTCTGATTCTATATCATTTAAAGAATATGTATTTGGTTCTCCTATCACTGAATATGTTCAGGAATTAAAAGAATGCTAGTGTGGTTGGAGCACAGAGGGCAAGAGAACAGAGTGTGAAGTGAACCTGAAGGGGTGAGTAGAGGCCAGACTCTGCAAAGTCCTAGAAACTATTGTGAGGCTTTTGTTTTTCTTGAATGAGCAATGGGAGGCCATAGGATCATTTTAAGATGACAAGTTTTCATAATTTTGTGTAGGAAAGCCATTACAAGAGTATCTTGTAGAATCGTAGAATCTTTGCAAGGACATGATTTGTGAACAGACACAAAACACACTTAGGAGGTGAAATCGAGATGCCTTCAAATTATGGTGGATATAGGAGGAAAAAGGAGAAGGAGGAGTAAACGATAACTCCTAGATTTATGTCTTTTGAACCTGGATGGTTGAGAGCATCTAATACTTGGACAAAAAACACTGGAAGAAGCTCCAGTTTTGAAAGAAACATCATGGATTTGGTGAGTTTCAATACTGTCAAGGCATCCAAGAGGATGTGTCAAGTAGACATTTGGATATACGGAGAGAGGCCTGGGCTGGACGTATCAATTTGTGAGTCATCTGATCATAAAAATAATTGTCACTGCAGGTGTAATGAGATTGTCTATGGAAAGAATATATCTGGAAACAAGAATACTTCAGACAGTCTTCGAAATTCTAATATGTAATGGCTGGAAAAAGAAAGTTGAGCGTGCAAAGGTATAAACAAATAGAAGGAAGAAATCCAGGAGAGTATTGCGACATGGTAACCAAGGCATTAGAGGGTTTTCAAAAGGAGGAAATGATAAACAGCATTGATTCCTGCTAGGAAGTTCAGTAAGAAAAGCACTGAAAAAAATGCCTGATGAATTTAGTAAAAGATAGGCAGAATTCTGGGATGGCCCCATGATCATCACACCTCCAAATATTCAAGCCCTGTATAATCCCCTCCCCTTGCATGTGAACAGGACCTGTGACTTGCTTCTAATCAACATAATATGGAAAAGGTGATGATACAATTAAGGTCCAAATAAGTTGATACTGAATTAATCAAAAGTGAGATTATCTTGGGTGAGCCTGGCTTAATCAGTTGAAAGCCCTAAAAGAAGGACAGGACCCCCCCCTGAGGAGAGAGAGTGTCCTTGTTAGCTCAATGAAGAAAGTAGCCATGTTGAGAATGTACGTGTAGCAAGGAAGCGCAAGAGGCCTCTAGAACCTAAAGGTGGCCTCCAGCTGGAAGTCAGCAAAAAGCACGGCTCTTGGTCATAAAACTACAAGAAAACTAATTCTGCCAACAGCCTAAGTAAGCTTGGAAGTGGACTCTTCCCCAGCTGAGCTTGTGACGAGTTTTCAGTCTGGTGAGATCCTGAAGCAAAGAACACAGCTAAGGCCTGGACTCCTGACGCACAGAAACTGTGAGATAATAAATGAGTGTTGTTTTAAGCCAGTAAATCTGTGGTGATTTGTTATAATGCAATAGAAGACTAATATAGCAACATAAAGAGTTTATTAGTGGCCTGAATGAAACCTGTTTCAGTTGAGTGATTGGGAAGGAGCCAGACTGCCTGGGTTTAGAGGAGTGAGTGGGAGGTAAGTAAATGGAGTGAGGATAGATGAGTCTCTAGAGAGGTTTGCTGGGAATAGAACACGAATGTAGGGCTGTAGCTGAATGGCGCTGCGGTTTTGAAGACAAAGTTTTTCTTTTTGTTTTTTAATGGGAAGTAACTTGAGCGTGTTTAAAAGTCTATTACAAGAATCAATTTTTACTGAAAGTTTGCTTGGCTCTGCTAGATGGAGCAGAGCTAGATAGAATTCACATGAAATAATTGGTTAAGAGCTATGCCTGGTCACCTAATGTTGATATTAACATTGAAAATATTGTAAAAGACTATAAAAAGATCATAAAAGAAAGCAGTATGAATTATGCTATTTAGCAAAACCTTCCTATTTGCAATATCTCCAAAGGACAGAGGGCTCTCCTTGCTTTGGGAGGACCCTATAGTCTGAGTCGAGTTCTAGTATCCCTTTCAATTTTCAGTAGAGAGGGGCCACTGCCCTGTGACTTTCTGTGATGGTTTCCTAAGGGGGCAGCTTTCCATGGGAGTTGACCAACAAGTCTTGGTCTAAATTCTGTACTGAATTGGTAGAATGCCAGGGAAGAAGCTATGCCATTGTGTGAGACAAATTGCTATCTAACACGAATCACCATCTCACACTGCTGCTAGAACTTCAGCTTTATGTCATTTGTTTACAACCCGTTCCTTGCTATGCGTTATTGCTTCTAAAAATAGTGGCAGTAATTTCTGTAGATTTTCATTTCCATGTTCAAAGACATGCTTTATTATCCTCAAACAAACGGTTAATTTGAAATAAAAAGAACAATAATAACTGAAAAGAAAGAGAGAGAAAAGAAAGAAAATTCTCTCTCAAGTTGAGTACCAAATACTTAATATAAATATTTCCCTTAATGCTCAGAAGAACCCTACAAGGCAAGCTCTATCATTATCCTCATTTTTCAGGTAAGCAAATTGAGTCTTAGATTAAAAAAATAATACCCAGAGTCCTATAGCTGTTCACATTGTGTCACATTAGAGAATGAACTGACTCTGAAGTTCAAATCTTAATTAACTACCATGAGATGCTGTGCCTATTCTAAAAAGAAGGCTTCTTTCTTAAGGAATTAACACTGGTCTGTAATAGGATGAGAACAATTGTTCATTATACTAACAAAGGATTTTGAAGACCTCGCTGGTTTCTCATTTCTCACTATGTCTTTCCATGTCCAATAACATAGTCAATCCAGCTCATTCCTGTAGTGATATTTCAAAACTTGCCCTGACTGCCACAGTCCAATGGACGAGAATTTATTTGTTATAACACAAATAACAGTTATGGTATATACCTCACATTAGGCAATAATAAGACTTAATTCTGAAACATGCCTATCACCATTAGTTTTCTGTGTCCATGATGATTTAATATCATCTGCAGCGAGCCATTTGACTTAGGCCAGTAGTTTTCAAACTTTAGTTTGCATCAGAATCTCCTGTAGGGCTTCTTCAAAACACAAATTACTGGACTCGACAATCAGAGGTCTTAATTCAACAGATGTGGGTTGCAGCCCTACAAATTTGCATTTCTAACAAGTCCCCAGATGCTGTTGCTGCTGGTGGTTTGAAGACCACACTTTGAGAACCACTGGCCCAGACTGGGGTTTAAAACCTTTTTCCATAAGAATTGGGTAAATACTTTTGTCATTGTGGGCCATACAGTCTCTGCCACAACTAGCCAACTCTTCCTTTGTAGGACAAAAGCAACCAGACACAATACCTAGAGAAATAGGAGATGGCTGTGTTTTAACACAATTTTATTTGCAGAAACAGGTGTCAGGCTGGATTGGTCAGTGGACCACATTTGGTCAACCTCTGGCCTAGACCAACTCAGTACAAGAGGCCTGGAAAATCACTGCGTTTATGTTCAATCACAACTCTGTGAGAATCAACTAGAGATTTATCCACAGCACCCCTTCCAAGTTTTTAAATAAAATCTGCAGAACTATACCAGAGGCTAAGCTGATTGTGTTAAAGCATAAGCATAAGAATAGAGGAGAAACCCCAAAGCTTTCCCAGGAATCTAATAAAAAAGTGAAACCTTGTGCAAGAGTCTGCATCTTATAAATAGTTTTTGTTCTAAGATGCCCATGAACTCTGTCTTCATTTTCAAATTTTAGTTTTAATTAGATATTGTTTATAATGTTAGAAGCTATAAATCTACCAATTAAAAGAAAACTGACACTACATTAAATGACATAGAGGCTAACCTAATCAAGTTATCCAATGACCTTATAATAAAACAAAACAAAACAAAAGCACTTTGTCACAAGTTTGCCCAGCTTTAATGCATTTGTCTTTACCCAGAACAGTGTACTTCAAACTAATTCAAAATGCCAATGTAAGCTTAAAAGTCTACTAAACTGTATATGCTAGTGGACCCACTGCATTAGCTCTATCCTTACAAAGTGTAAATTCTTGGAAAAAGACACAATTCAGATAAATTTTTGTCATAATAGAAGGTAATTTAGTTCTCTTAAAATAATTATATACAAATACCATCAGGAAAGCTAGTATTATCAGTCACCTTATAAACTAACTTAGAATGCAAGTATTATGTCACACGTCTCCAACAATGCTACAGACTAGAAATATTTAAATAAAATCTCTACAGACAATTATATATTCTAATATAATAATAATTTGAAAATTAACTAAAATGACTCCTTGGTGGGATACATGACTACCATCTTCCAAAATCTTTTCCTAAATTCAATTAAATCAAATACTTAACTTGACCAACACGCTTATATTTACCACTAGACATTTATTCCTTAGTCTAATGCTAGACTTTAGTGGTTTTCAAAGAGTACTCAATTAAAAAAAAATGCTGAAAGAGTATTGTGGTCAAATTAAACTGGAAAATGTTGGTTTTGAATACATTTTAAGTTTTTTTTTTTACTTTAGGACTCCTCAGAAATATTAATATTCATGGTACAAATATCTAAGAAAGACGTGGCAGATTGTGCAGCCTTCTCCAATCTCATTTGAAGGTGGAACCCAGCCGTCAGCAGAGCATCTTGAAGCACAAGAGGAGCGTGTAAGAAAACAACGTTCTTAGGGCCTGAATCCAGGTACCAGGTGATAATATGCTTCTGAAGATAAATTCCATCAGATTCAACAAATATTCATTAAGTGCCTCTATGATTTAACCAATTGTGCAAAAGATAACCCTTTAGTTTTGCCACGCTACTCACCAAAATCTACCTAGAACACGTTACTCCTATTAAACATACTTACACTCCTCTTCAGGCCTCTTCCGAAGTGCTGCACGAACCTCCTTACAAGGACTTCTCTGATATTGTGGGGGATTCCTTCCCCTTATTAGGTTCTCCATCCTATAAGAGAAAATCAAAAGAGTATTTTAATACTAGAATCTTGATCAATTTGAACAAGTTAAATGGTCTAAATCAAGATTCAATAATTCAAGTACCTACAAAGGCTTGGTGGACAACACCATTGAGAGTATCTAGCAAGGAGTAAGACAGTAGGAAGGGACAGGGACTGTGGTAAACTGGACAGTGCTTGACTTTACCAAGGCATTCAAATTCTAAAAATGTAAAAACACACGTGGAGGAAACTCATACGCACATTCTTCAATGAGAGACTGTTACGGACTGAATGTTTGCCTTAGGCCCCCATTCCTATGTTGAAGGCCTAACTCCCAATGTAGTGGTAGCTGGAGGTGGAACCTTGAGAAGTAATTAGGTTTAGATGAAGTCAAAAGGGTCCAGCACCCCTGATGGGATTAACGTCCTTATAAGAAAAAAAGAGACCAGAGCTGCTTCTCTCTGCCTTATGGGGACACAGTGAGAAGGTGCTCAAATGAAAACCAGGGAGAGGGCACTCAGTGGGAAGCGAATCTGCCAGCACCTTGATCTTAGGCTTCCCAGCCTCCAGGACTGTGAGAAATACACGGCTGTGGTTTAGGCCACCCAGCCTGTGGCATTTTGTTATAGCAGCCTAGGCTGACTGAGACAGAGACCTACTGACCACAGAGTGATCACCTCTAAAGCAAACAAATTTACCAAAAGTCAGGTCACCCTTCAGAAAGAAGGAATGTCTCTTTCACCAACACTCTGAAGACCAGTTTTCAAGGCGTCGAATTACTGCTTTGATCCCACGCCAATGGCTAAACTGGGAGGGGTTTTCTGATTCTACTGGCTGTGACTTCTTGAAAAAGTGTTAATATAAAGTGCACTTCTCAGTTACTAGCGACATAGCAATGCTGACAACCAGGAAATAATAATAAATGTATCAAATGCAACTTGGCTTAGCATATTTAACAGCTTATACTTTATGGTCAGTATTTTTTGGTTCAGTAAACCATACAGTTTTGTGCCACCGATGCACACTCTAGTCATTTTGATAACACTGAAAACTATTTAACGCACAGAATTTGAAAATTCAGAACAAAACCCTGGTATTGATTTATCACTTTGAAAATATAAATACAGCTTCTTAGCTACATAATTATTCTAATGGGATATCTCTGGTTTTGATAACTGCACTGGCTGATAGCATATATACCATTGAAAACGGTGTGGTTGTTATGGATTATGGTGGTGGAGGGTCTCCTAGGGTTAGTGGTACAGAGGATTATGTTTCGGGTGTCTAGAGAGGAAATTGGTAAAGGATAAGCCAATAAAAGCAGTATTTAAAATGGTGTAAAATATGAGATAAGTAACCTTTTGTACTGGAATAGTAACATAACACTCTTCCTAAGGGAAGCTGTGACTGGTTCTTAAAAACACCTTTCGAGGGGCCAGCCCCATAGCCTAGTCGTTAAGTTCAGAGCCTGGGCTTGGTTCCCAGGTGTGGACCCACACCACTCATCAGCAGCCATGCTGTGGTGGCGAGCCACAACGAGACAGAGGAAGATTGCCACAGATGTTCACTCAGGGCTAAGCCTCCTCAATAACAACAACAACAAAAAAACCCCAAAAAAACACCTTTCCAAATATACTTCTTGAAATTAATCCATTCATACGTAGGGGCCACTTTATGTGTTTGTGTGTGTGTGCGCGTCTGTGTGCACGCTCATGTCCCCCTGCCGGTGTATATAAATACAAGAAAATGTTTCTCAGTGAGCAATGATGAAAACTTGAAGCTTAGTTTCATTTGAAGCTCATTTCAAGTGAGAAAAAGAGTTATTTCTCTCAAAGTTATAAGACAATGACAAGACACCAAGTGAAAACCTGAAGAGCTGAAGATAGAATTTGCTTTAACACTATATATGGGGGAGAAATCAAGCTTCCAGAACAGTCTCTGCAGTTTCACTATGAGGATTAGCCATGTAACCTGAATTATATAAAATTTTACAGTTTCTGACTCTTGAATTAATTCAACGCACAATTTTGATTACATGTTTCAGCAAATGCATGAATTTCCATGATGATCTAATAACAATTTAAGTAAACTCATAATTATTCACTGGTATTTATAAGCTCAAGATAGTAAAATACAACAAACATAACCCGCACATGCAAATGTCTACATAAAATTATAATATATTTTTAAAAACCAATTTTTACTCATTGTGATTACGCTCTGATGAGGAATGACAATTTATCCTGGCTGGAAGTCTATGCAAACCGCTCTCTTGAATAGGCTATTATTTTTCCTTTTATATATCTGACTATCAAATATGTGAAAACAAAAGCGGTCTAGTTGATTTCCATGGAACTCTATTTAAGGGAATGTCAGAAAAACTGAAACACAGGTTAGAAATTCCTGCCAGGGCTCCAGGAGAGTTTCACTTATATGGTTGCTATTGGCATCAAAGATCCCGAAGTCAACCCCCCAGGAATCGTGGTGCACAAAGGCTGCATCCTGGGGATGCTCACAAGCAGATATGCCAGAGATTAGCCAATGTTAACAATGTAGCATGTGGCAGGTTTCAATGTGACGAGTGTAGGTTCTGGAATCAGATAGCTGAGCTCAAACTCCCATTCTGTCTCTTACAGGATGATTTTAGGGAAAGATACCTACTTTGTGCTTTAATGTTTTCATCAGTAAATGAGGATAACATTAACTTCCTCATAAGATTGCTGTAAGGATTAAATATGTCAATATGTGTAAAACGCTTTACATTGTGTCTGTCACAATGCAAGAGCTCAGCAAATGTAGCTATTATTAACCATAATTATCCCAAATAAAAATGAAATTCCCATATACTAAAATTTGAAATGTCCAGCATGTTAGGAAAAATATGAAAACTTGCCTTTATTTAATAAAGAAAGAGAACAGATGGAATTATTGAGGAAAAAAAATTATGGCTAAACAAATGTTCTGGTTATTAGAAAAACACAGAACATCTATGCACTTGAATTGCCAATTTTCAGAAATGCAGAACTCAAAAAAATACTTCATTTTATTCAATAAGATTTAAGAAATTATTATATGATAATCTTCCAAGGATACTAAGATGGATAGAAGTGGGTCGTTATCCTCATGAATTAACTAAAGTGCTAAATAACTTATTCTTTCTTAGACAATTTAGAAGATATTTCAAAATTGTAGAGTGCCCTTTGACTTTAGCAAGAACAATGAATATATCTTATAATGTACTACCATTTATCATTGATTCTATTTAATCTTTACAGCAACCTTCTGGAAGATCATTTTGAAGATGAGGAAGCTAAGGCTCCGAAATATTCAGTGATCTGATTGTGGCCACACAGGAAGGAAGAGGCTCAACTGAGATTTAATCAAGGTTCTTTGATTTTTTAATCTTTTTTCTAACTGCTTCTTAATCCATTATTTCCATGAGTCTATGATTTTTTAGTATAATTCCACTAGGACACTAAATACTTGAGATTCTGCTATGTCATACATATTTAATTTTGATGAAATTATTATTATACATAACACTAATATTTATATTAATATATACTTGTATGCAAATAGTATATATTAAATATATAAATATAATACTATACAAATATATATATTTGCATATATTTTGATCTTCTATTTATATGTTGATTTTTGATCATTTAGCTATTTTCAAGGAAATCTTTGCTTCTGTGACATTTTAAGCTTTTGAAAACCACCAAGAATATAACTGAGACCTAAGAAACTGACTATAAATTATATATTCAACAGACTAATAGAAGAAAAAAATTTAAAAATCACATTCAAAGTCCTTTTGTCCCTTAGAATGCTAAATGTTCTGCCCAGTGGAAAACACCTCTGAATCAAATTAAAAGTGTCACAGAGCAACATTCATGTGCAAACTATTATACACCTGTGAGACTTCCATCTTCCTGAGATTACGCCTCTGGCTCCTTGAACTCTTCCACCAGTATCATCTATGATCTACAGTTTGCATTAAATGGTCAGACAAAATGACCAAGAAGGAAGTCTTGGAGCACAGCCAGGACACAGCAAAGGAGCTGTCCTAGCTTATCTCAAGTTTGGCAAACCACCAGCGGAGCGTGTTAACAGTTCCAGCAAGCAGAGATTAAGTGTGATGACCACAGGCAAGACAGATGCTTGAACAACTCATTGAATAGCTCTAAAAAGTGCAGTCTACACTACATGTCAACTTCTGGGAAGAAAGAGAGGCAGCCAGATTATTATCAAACAACATGAAAAAGCAATCAGAGGTTATGAGCAAAGGTGTCTACAACTCTCTTGGTGGTGTCTCCCAAATTTGGGTCACCAAATCACCTGAGGAGTTTTAAGCAAATACAGAGTGCCCTGTTCCTGGTATTAAAGATTTCCATCCAGTAGGCTGGGGTCAGGTCTAGTAGATAGATTTTTTAACAGTAATCAAGGGCTTCTAAAGTAGCCTTACACAGCTCCCAATACTGGCATTTGGGAACCCCTGTGAATAAAAAATATACACTTGGAGATGTAGGAAAGGGGGCTTCAATAAATTCATTCCAGGAGATAAAGGCATCTGCAGATACAGAGGTGAGGTGAGGGCCTGGCGAGTGGACTGCCACTAGGACAGGCGCTATTAAAAATGAACAGAGTGGCCAAAGAGGGACTGTCAAAGGCTTGCCAAGGCGTCTGGCGGTCAAGCAGGTGAACCTGGAGGCTGCTTATTTACAGGGCTGATAATCTCAATAGTGAAATGATTCCCTCCAACAAGGTTTGGCAGACTCCACTAGATCTGAGAAATAGTTTGGGTTGATCTAGGGCTGTGGATTGGGTTGGGGGTGTGACTAGGGAATGAAAGAAGTGAAGCTTGGGTGAAAATATGGTTGAAATGGATTTACACTGGATAAAGGAAGAGGAGGGAGAATGATCGAGTCACGGGAGGATGTGAGAGTTGCATTGAGAGAATACAGGTATCAGGTATAGGTACTTATAAAATGCCTATTATGTG